AGAGTTCGACTTTGTAAGTTGATGCGATTATAATGTGGTTCCGTTAGTCTAGATTGCTGTTGTTGGTGCTCAACTGTTTAGATGCTGCTCCTACTACGTTGTTCCGGAAAGTACAATTTTCTTCTAATGCTATTCTTATCGGTTAAAAAGGATGTATCGTTGTTTGCTTTTTGGACAGAAAAAGCATTTGATGATGACGGCAAGTTGAAGCAACCAAAGCAACTCTCGATAAACAAAGTTGGGCATGGTATATGCTTGAACTCAACCTTGTCTTGATTTATTTTTGGTCACAAAATTTGATCGGATTTCACTTAGTTTCTACCCCGTATGCTCTTTTTTGTTTGTTTTTTTTTTTTTAATATTAACGTACGATTTGAATATATTGGGCTCGTACTACATGATTGAATGCCATGTCTTTTTTTGCAGCATTGCACGAAAAGGACCCTGTGTTTAAGAGCTTTTCAAGCTCAGAGAAAATGACAAGTTTACTGTTCTCTCTCGGTTACAAAAGGCCAGTAGGCATTCAGTCCATGTACATTTTCAAGGTATTTTCTTACATAATAACCATGCTAAACTTAGCTAACTGATTTCCGTATATTCTATTAAAAGATTCTTGTTAGAATTATTTTCTCAAGCGTTTATCATGTGAAGAAGCCCATTCAATTCATCGGGTCAGAATCAGATAGTTTCCAATCCGAGTGCAGCATTTCTATTTCAGTTCTATTGGAATCCAAATCTTCTTCGGTGTGTAGCAAAAAAGACATAGTGTGTTGTACTTTAAGGTTGTCACTGACATAGATTCTCGATATTTGTGTTTATGTGTGTGCACAGTTCTGATCGACTATTAGAACATGATCTGATTTGGCATAGAAGATGTTATTGACATTCTTTATGACACTAGATGTTTTTTTTTTTTCATGTGACATATTCTCTGAATTCATTCATTTTTCGTAATTATATAACTAAATGCTTTGTGCTTACTGCTTAGTTATCATAGACTAGACTAAAGTAAGTGCATTTCTGTTACTTATTCCATATTTCGAAATTAGCAGAGCTTAGTAGTAGTACGTAAAAAGCACATTCTGCCTCACATAAAATTGAACCAATTCATATACATGAATTACATTTTAATTTACTGAATCAGTGTCAAGTATAGTAATTTGAGTACCCTTCTTGTTATACATATATACGTATATATATTATATAATTTCTTTTCATCATGAATTTATATAGCAACCTGGAATCGGCGGTGAGGTGGTCCCACACCAGGACAATTCATTTCTATACACAAATCCAACAACTTGCACCGGTTTATGGCTTGCTTTAGAAGATGCAACAATCTTAAATGGTTGCCTCTGGGCTATTCCTCGATCTCATAAAGGTAATTTAATTATTTATATATATATATATATATATATATATATATATATATATATATATATATATATATATATATTCCCATTTCTCACAATCCTCGTTTTAATTTAATTATTCTACTAATATCATAACAGATGGCCTTGTAAGAAGATTTATCAGAGACGAGACAGGTGTCCACTTTGACAAGCCATCTCCACCGTACGATCAGAAAGATTTTGTCCCGATAGAAGAAAAAGCTGGCTCTTTAGTAGTCATTCACGGGGATTTGATTCATCAGAGGTCCGTTTGCCATTTCCTTGCATTTATTTCAAACAATTTTACTACATCGATTTATAATTACATAACTTATAATGTTCTCTCTTTTTTATGGCATATTCTTCTATGCAGTTTCGAGAACAAGTCATCGACTTCTCGGCATGCATACAGCCTTCACGTGGTTGATACTGATGGATGTAAATGGGCAGAGGATAATTGGTAAGCGATATGGAAATAATTATGTTGTTTTTTTTTTTTGTTTTTTTTCGCGCGCAATCATTATTGGTGAAAAACATGTGTAGATTTGTTCTTAATTAAAACCCACAATTTTATTTTTTTGGGGAGAAATATATTTATTTTTCAATTTATTTCAGGATCAGAAGAAACGCGGATCCTGAGCCTCTGTATGCATCTTGAGAATTGCTACCTAAGTATAATTAACTTGAGTTAAGCTTGTAATCTACTGTCTTTGGTCTACTGGATAATATTTATTTCCCTTTAATCAAGTTACATACGATTACAAATTTAGCCTTCTAGATTGATTTTTTTATTTTCAATATATTCATGACAAAAAAAACGTGTTTATACAGTTGTACTGTATAATAACATCAAGGGTCTAGTCAAATTATCTTTTGTGCAAGGTTAATTTCTTTTGAATTGGGGTTCAAATCGAAATTGAATTTCCAATTTCCACCGATTCCGATAGGAAGAAATTTGATTCTGAAATTGTTTTTCCAATTCCGATTTGTGAAATTTCCGAAAACAAAATCAGGTCAGAATCAGTTCATATAAAAATTTCAGATTTTCAGAATTCAAACATTGAGCCGAGGCCCAATTAAATTAAGGCTGGAATAATGAAATTATTGGGCAATTTCGTACAAACATTGGGCCCAGGCCCAATAAAAAAAAGATAGCTACTAAATTTCAAAAAGGGCTTTTCATGATATATATAGCATTGTAGTAAAATGAAATCCAATTTCCAATACCATAAATTTATTTAGTAGCATACATACCAATAATCATCAATGTTTTTTTTTTATAGCCCAATTCTAATCTCAAGTACAGAAACATCGGATGTAGGAAATATCCACGTACATGTTTTTTCGGCAAATTAAATCGAGGATTAATTAAAATCCTCTGATTTTTTCAATCCAAGAGTTTGTTGCAAGTGCCAACTCCAACAGCAGCAGCTAGATGCCAGCCTGCATGCAGAAACGGGGTTTCTGGGAAAAGATCGTCGGCAAAGAAAAGTGCACCGCTTAATATTGATGACATCTTATGCACATTATGGGCTGTTCTCAAATCTGGATCTTCAGACGCTCGCTTTGCAAATGCCACCTGTAGTCAAATACCACACGTAATTCTTGTCTGAGAATTTAATAAAAAAAAAAAACAATCTTGATAATGAGTCATATACATGCAGTCACACACACACACACACACACATATGTATATATAAGGGCAAATTTAGGTTCTACGGCATATTCAGACATGGAGTAGCTACCTCCATCAATCCCGTATGAACTGCTGATACCACTAGAGGTTGAATAGGCAGAAACAGGGCTGATGTGGCCATCAACAACTTTGAGTTGTCGTTCCTAATTGCTCTCGACAAGCACTGCAAAAGGAAAACGAGTGAGCCGAAAAAAGACAAGAAATCCAGGCACGGTTTCAACATTTTTCCGGCTGCAATAGCCAATTTTCTTGAAGAGAAGAAACAAACAACATCAACAAGAAGAAGCTCGATTCATCAATTTCAATACAAGAATATGGACCTTCGTCACTAGCAAACTGAAAAACGAAAAACATTTACTATATATCCAGGGGCTGGCATCAAAAGCATTTTCATGGATATACAAATCTACACCGGTAGTCTTGCTAATAGCCCGCTAAACCTACTAGAAGAACCGTAACATTTCAAGGGTATCCACTTGTACTTAATTCTGGACAATTTCCGCAACACACTACCGTAGTTACGAATTCTCGGAAAATTTCTACAGATAATGAAGTTAACAGCAACTAAAATGTTATACTCACCACTGTGGCCGTGGCTATCATTGTGTAGTCAGCCCATCTGAGATACTTCCTGAATTTCCCTCTCGAGGCATGATACAAACTGGAGGTAACTCCTACTCCGATTAACGAATTCGCGTAGATCGTGCAATTGAGATTTTTCCTGCATCACCCAAGGAGAACTATTACTCTTAAGAAATAACACAAAAATCTGAGAAATTGTCCACTCGTAATGCATCTTTGACGGATATGACATGATTCACCTCGGAGCTTGAATGCCAAGGGCGATAAACGGAAGCGACGTAAGCACATTAACAAACGTTTCGGCAAAGCTTCTATCACCTGCGATAAGCAAATAATTCATTGAAGGCCAGAACAGAAATAGCAAACATTTACTTGAAACAAATTTGTGACTCAATACCATTAAGACCACAGTGGATCGGCCTCAGACAAGACGGTCTTTGTTCCCAAATTTTCCTGGTAAATAACACACCGATGTTAGTGACAAACGGAATAAAAAAAAAAAAAAAAAAATCTACTCTATAAAATGTTTAAAACAAGTCGACTCACTTTGGTATTTGCTGTTGGTTTCTTGCATTGTTGGACGTCTGATTGAAATCGCCGCGCTGCTTTATCTCTTGGAATGTAAATGGTAACTGAGGAAGCAAATGAACACCGTGCACTCCATTTAAGGCTTGACTAGGCTTCAATCCACTCTCGGGAGTCATATGCTATTTGATTTGGCAATCAGTCAATTTCGATTGACTGATTGCCAGAAATAACATATATTGGCGTATAGTATACTATACACCAACTTGACGTCACTGCAATACAGCGAAGTACGATCAAAACTTTGTCATGAAATCAAAAACTCTATCTAAATTATTACAGCAGAATGGAACAGCAAAACATTTAATTACAGCATATCTCTTACACAAACAAAAGACTTCATCTTTCTAATTGTCTCACCAGTTCCCCCACTCTTTTAATACGAAATCGGGTCTACCGACAAAGAATTAATTTTTTTTATTCGTTGTCGATTGGTGGATTTCCTAAACAACACATTGGATCGGTGACAAAAATCAATCACCTTTACAAGATTGATTTTTTTTTTTCTTTGATATCTTTATCCTCTTTTGAGGTAGAGCTAACTGATTACGTGTTCATAATCAAACTTAATCAACAGATGCATGAGCACTAACAATGAAACAATTAATCCAACAGACAATTTCAAATCACATAAAATACGGAGAAAAAAAAAACGCAAAATCAAATTCATAGCTCGTGCTAATGCGAGTAAAACAGAGACTTCGAACCCAGATTCTCGAAGAGATTAGTATGAAAGATCGGGCATACATAATCGTCAAATAAACACACCAATTGTAAAAAAAAAAAAAAAAAAAAAAAAATGAAGAAATTAACAAACATAATCCGACCGACAGCGTAGAAAAACAACAATGGTCAACAGAGAGACCAAACATCGTCACGAGATTAGAAAATTACCCGAGAAATGTGAAAAAAATAATTGGGGCAACTTGAGCAGAGAAGAGGAAATTATTAATAATTCAGATGACTTGGTTGAAGGAAAAGTCAAAATTAGGGCAAAAAATTAATTTATATGGTCCCCAATTGACTGGGAGAAAGGTGCGAGTGAGATATACCGAATCTTTCTGAGACGGATTGTCCACGTGTACGGCATATTCTCTTCTTTGTTCCAATACACTGCTAAATAAATATCTCCTAAATATCTCCTAAATAAAATTAAAATCTCTAAACATAATTTATTTATTAAAAAAATGGTAAATTACAACCATCCCTGAGGTTTAATCAATTTACGAAAACCCCCTATTGTTTGGATGATTACAACCACCCCTCAACTCCTCAAATTTAGTCGAATCTTCAAGGTTATATGGAATATTATCACTTTTGTACCCGTTTTATCATATTCGAACTCTACATTTTGAAGCAAGATGATCATAATATGTATTTCATGGCTTGTATATATCAGATTGTGGTGCATCAAAAACTGTATTTTTACACAAAACGAGTACAAACTAGAGCACATTCCACGGAATCTAGATGATTATGTTGAATTTGACCCCATAAGGGTGGAAGTGTAAGAAAAAAATCACAGTTGAGGGGGTAGATGTAATTATCTAAACAAGAGGGATTTTGTGTAAATTGACTATACCTCAGGGGGGTGTTTGTAATTTACCCAAAAAAAAAAGAAAAAACAAAGGAATCTTTATATGTGCGCTTAAACATGTCAAATATGTTTTGGGCCTTGGTATTATATATTGGGCTTTAATTTGGGCCCAGTTTTGAGTTCCATAAAAAATATTTAGCTAAACCTATTTTGGTCCATTTACACCTTTACCAAAAAAATTAATAATAATAATAAAAATAAATAATAAATCAATAATTAATAATGGTTCTTAATTTGCACAGGAATTCCCCCTGTTGTAATTCAGAGGAGGACCCATATTTCCTTTACAACAAAAATACCTATTTTTGGAAAATTTTATTCAATTAATTCAATTTTTTTGGTGGACTAAATAAAATAGTTAAAAATTGAGGAGGGGCCATGGCCCCTCACCTGCATCAAATTAAATATAACTTGTATATATAATAGAGAATCTAAAAAAATAAATAATCAACAATTAGTTAAGAACAACGGCTGCTAGCTCAGTAGCCTTTGTTGTAGGGTCTCTGTCGAATGTAAATATACATTGACATGAATCTGAATAGTGTATCTATAGGTAATATTTTGACTATTTTTTTACCCCAAATTGTTTTATGGGTAATAATAAATCATTTATATTTTATTAATTTAATAGTTTTTATTGACTCAATTTTTTCAAATTAATCCGGTTTTTTTAATCTATAGTATATAGGTTATCCATTGAACATTGAATATTTTTGCAAATATGTATTATCCTAAACATTTAATTATAGGATTTAAAAAATTGAAAAATGTTTGGATATAATCTAATTGGGTTAAGTGACCCGATTATGCATTTTGGCTAACTCCATTTGATTGACCCGATCCAATTAAATTAATAAATGTATGTAAAATATTGGACAAAGACTGACACATAAACATTGACATGAAAGAAGGCCAAGTCAAACCTAGATTCAAGGCCTGACCACTTAAACTACAAAACAGAAGCTAACTTTTTTTTTTAAAACAAATTAAACAAGATTTTTCACAATTCACCAGGTCATATATGCGAATTCACTAAACTACCCCCGGGACCCCATCTTAGACCATAAATAGCGTGAGGACAAAAAGGGAAACTAATTAAAATTGCTTTCTTAATGCCATCTAGCTACAATTGCTACTCCAATGTATCGCTTTCTTTTCTTTTTCTTTTTTTTTTTCTAATTTATATATATATATATATAAAATATTGAAAATATATGGCAAGTATACAAATATGTGGGCAAAATGGTTTTTACTCTAATAAAATACAAGATGATTTCGATTTCATAAAGCCCATAACTTTTTACCAGAAATTAGATGATACACCTGGTAATTTACGCTGATTGAATTTGAACCGTAGATCTAACATAATCACGCACACATCCATGTGTCTGTGTGGTTAGTGGATAGTTATTTAATCAAATCTACGACTACACGACATAAATAATCAGGTGTAACATCTAACTATCCAACTTTTACATATTCAAAACTAATTATAATGTATTTTTTCAAAAAGAAAATTATTGGGTCCTCTCTCTCTCTCTCTCTCTCTCTCTCTCTCTCTCTCTCTCTCTCTCTCTCTCTCTCTCTCTCTCTCTCTCTCTCTCGCGTACTACATTTGTGTATATGAAACAAACCCACGTCCACAACTAACATGCACATCAAACCCCTTCTTACATACATACATTACATTACATTACAACTATAAAAAAAAAAAAAAAAAAGGTACAAACTTCAAAGATTCATCACACTATAAAATAAATAAAACAAAAAATAAAATAAAAAATATGCATAAGAAGGTTCCATGATTCAAGGCTCAATATCATGTCCCGCCCCCTATAAGATAAGGAGCGAAAACCCCCCACCCCCTTTCTCTCTCTAACTCTCTCTCTCTTGTTTCTCTCTCTAAAGCTGCAGAATTTAGAATTTTTCAACAGTGCTTAGATTATATTTTCAGACCCCAATTCTCTCTCTCTATTACATACTTAGCATCTATATATATAGTGTCAGTCAAACCATTCTTCTGTCCGGAAGATTAAAAAAAAAACATGGCGGTTTCCGTCACCATCCACGGCAGCGAGGCGACTACAGCTTGGAGAAGAAAGAGAAAAATATTATTATTATTGGATAATAATAATTACAATAATGCCACTTCAAGATTATTCCCACTTGTTTCTCTCGTCCTCCTCCTAATCCTCTCTCAACTCTGTTCGTTAACGTCCGCCGATAACGACACCGCCGCCGCCGCAAGCTCACGGTGGTCCCCGGCCAGGAAACAGAGGTTCTTCACGACGACGGCGGCGCCGTCGTACCATGCAAGAGCTCCGACAACATCATCGTCGTCAACAAGAGACGAAGCTAATTACGAGGATGAGAAGAGATTAGTGCACACCGGACCAAACCCTCTTCACAACTAATTGAAGGGCTTATTTGCTATTATGGATTCTATTAATGGTTAGTTCTTTAGATTTATTTAATTGCATTTTCTACCCCTCTAGTTACATCTAATTGCTATAAAACTCTCTATATTATTAATATTAGCAAAAATGTTCCTATCATGTATTTTTTTTTTTCTTAGCACAAAAACCCTAAAGATTGAATTTTTTTTTTGAAGGGGTGTTTTTGCTAAGAAAAAAATTTAGAAACATATGGGCGTTTTTGCTAATAAAAATATAACACATGGAGTTTTCTAACAATAAGATTAAAAACAGAGGTGGTAAATGCAAAAAAAAAAAAAAGAAAAAAAGACTGTGTAAGTTCTTTATGCTATCAGCTGCAGCTTCTGTTCTTCCCTTTCTGAATATAGAATTAATTGTAGCAACTTTTTTTTTTCCCTTCTCTGCTTTTTCAGTGATTATTGTTTTAACTGATCTGTTATTTGGTAGCTAGCAAATTAAATTAAATTTAAAAAAAAAAAGAAAAAAAAAAAAAGAATCAGGGTCGTGGTTTAATGCACTTCTTTATTCATTTGCTGCAGTACTGTTTATTTATTTATTTATTTTAAATTATTTAATGTATTGAATAATGTACCTTCTGTTAAACATTACTGTTCATGTAATAAATTGGTGTAGTTATTGCTGTTCATCTACTCAACCCTTTTTTTTTGTTAGAATTTGATTCTTTTACTTTGGCAGTTAGCTGGCATTCTTTAATCACTGACCATTTTAATAAATTTTAAAAAAGAAATTAATTAAATAATTAATTACTTATAAGTGATCTGACTCTAATTCTTGAATTTTATGGGGACTGATTTGATATTTCACCATCAGTGTGGTTAAAATTAGTCTGCCAAAAAGTTGGATAATATATATATATCTGTTTAAAGGGGTTTACAGAACATCTTAAAAAGGCACACAAAAAGTGTGCAAAAAATAGGGCTATTTTATTACAGTATTATATGTATATGTCTATATATGTATGGAAACTAGGGTTTACTTTTTAACTACTAGGTCTACATTTTCAATCACTATTGTTCCATCATTATCTCTTGATTGAATTACTTAGCTTCTTTCTACACTATTTATTTATTCATTAATTAAATATCTTTTGCGTGATGATGCCAACAACAAATTAAATACTCCATTTGTTTTCAAATTTAATTCTTATTTTTTTAGTTTTAATTTGTCTTGTTTACATGATGTGGACGACAGGTTTTTAGAACCTATATATACCTTATGAAAGAGATGTGTAGTTTTTCATCAGGTGTAGGATCTCATAAGCTGCGCACGACCGATAATATTTTATATCGAGGGTGAATTTTTGATAGAAATATGGGTTGTCAAAGACAAGTTAAAAAAATTCAAAGGCACCAATTTGTTTTTGTAGTTATGTATAAATTTTAAATAAGAATCATATAACATTTTTAATAGTATTATTTTATATTGTAACAACATATTAAAAAAAACCTATACAGTAGAATCACGATAAATTAATACTCGATAAATTAAAACATCGATTAAATAATAGTTTATCACGGTCCCCAATCGGTGAAAACGTGTTAAATTATTAACTCGATAATTTAATAATTCGCTAAATTAACAGAATTTCTCTAGTCTCAACTGTATTAATTTATAAATGTTTAACTGTAATTAAGTTGTTATTAGAGAATATGAAGAAGAACAAAATTAAGGGGCATGAAATACATTTTAATTATATTAAGACCATGCATACTTATTAAAAGTGAAGTGATAAGGGTACGTATTATGATGGAGGTCTA